CTCTCTCTCTCTCTGCCCTTCCCTTGCTCCTGCTCTCTCTCTCTCTCAAAATAAATAGTTTTTTTAAAAATAATAACCCCTGGGGCGCCTGGGTGGCGCAGTCGGTTAAGCGTCCGACTTCAGCCAGGTCACGATCTCGCGGTCCGTGAGTTCGAGCCCCGCATCAGGCTCTGGGCTGATGGCTCAGAGCCTGGAGCCTGTTTCCGATTCTGTGTCTCCCTCTCTCTCTGCCCCTCCCTCGTTCATGCTCTGTCTCTCTCTGTCCCAAAAATAAATAAACGTTGAAAAAAAAATAATAATAACCCCTGAGATGGGATGCATGTGCGATCTGTCGGGTGCACTGTGGCCACCACTTGAGGACCACCCAGAAATGCAGAGTGACATCAGTGGGGTGCACCATACAAAGCGTGATGTCATGCGGGCTGCTTACAGTGGCCAGTGTGGGCCCTGGCTGTATTTGCTCGTGAGCCCGACCTCAGGGCTGCAGACCCCTGGGCCGGAGACCCAGCCCTGGGGAGGGTGGGGAGAGACAGAGGGAAGGTCTAGGCCACCCCCCTGCCTACCACTCCCCCTCCCAGCCCTGTGGTTGGAAGTGTTGTCGCTCTAGGGCCCAAAGTGCCGTGTTTGAATCCTGACCCCGCCACTTGCTACCCATAAGACCTTGTGCAAACTAACCTCTCTGTGCCTGTGTTTCCTCCTCTGTGAGGTGGGGATGGTCCCAACCCCTAAGGGCTGTTGGGAGCATTAACTGACCAGGAATCTCGGTCCAGGAGCTCTGGTGGGTGCTGGGCACACAGTGAACGCTCCAGAAATAACACCCGTTATGCTCACGGGCTCTCTCTTCCCCCAGCCCAGCCCTTCCTCTCCCCCTGAGGAAGGACACCCTTTCCGTGGCATTTCATCCCGCACATTAGAATCCCCTGGGGAGCTTTTAAAAATCCCAGTGCCAGGCCCACACCCCAGGCCAATTACCCCGGAATCTCTGGGGTGAGACCAGGCATCGGTATTTTGCTAAGTGCGCAGGCGATCTTGCTGGGCCCCATGCCTCGGCAGCTGTGCTGAGCCTCCCCTGCGTCCTGCTTGGATACAGCCCCCAAGACTGCAGGCAGGATGGGTCCCGAGAGCTGGCATTTCTCATGAGCTCCCGGCGATCGCTTGTCCCAGGCCTCTGGGCCAGGACCACACTCGGGACAGCACAGCCCTGGAGAAAGACCCCCTGCTGGAAACCAAGACCCGTCTTCTCTCTGGGACTGTCATAAACCACAGCAGCTGACACTTCTTGAGCCTTGTGCCCCCCTGATAACTCAGTTTCCCGTGCTGCTCAGTGACACCTCCAAGAGCATCCTCCCCATTTTAAAGATGAGGAAAGTGAAGTCCAGGTGGGTTGAGGAACCTGCCTGTGGTCAGCTGGCTGAGCCAGGCCCCGGCCAAGTCAGAGATGCTCCACGGGTGTCTGTCCCTCCCCTGCCCTGTCTCCCTCCCTCCCACTCGTGTCCCCAGCCCATCCCCCAGCAGATGTCTCCAGGCCACCTCCTTCCTGCCTGTCCCACATACCCAGCCTGGATGAAGTCAGAGCCCTCCCCTCGGGTCCTTCCAAGTCCCCCCCCCCCGCCCCCCCATCGCCTGACCCTGCGTGTCTCCCGGACTTCCAGCCACTTCTCCACACCCTCACTGCCCCCCATCTTCCACGCTGAGACCCCCACAATTTCTGGCCCAGAGCCAGCATCTCTGACCTTAACAGGCACACGACTCCCAGGGGGTCTTGTTAAACTACCGATTCATTTGGGTGTGCCCGAGATGCTGCATGACTGATAAGTTCCCAGGGGGGGAACCAGCACAGCACCCATGTCATGGACGCCTGGGGGACCCCAGCACTTCCTAGGCATCAGTGCCAGCCTCTGTGCAGGACGAGGAGATGATGGGCCCCCCTGCCGGCCCCCTCCATCCCTCTCCCCTCCCCAGCCTGGCACACAGGCAGCTCCCTGTGAAAGGAGGGATAAGCACCCCGCCCCCATCGACCCTCAGACACAAGGACCCTCAGAGGTGAAAACAAGAGCCTCACAGGCCCCTGGAGGGGCAGCCCCGGGGTTGGAACCCCAGCTCCCGTCTCCTAGGAAGCTGGCTGGCCTCGGGCAGGGACACCAGCTCTCTGAGCCTTGATTTCCACATCTGTTAATGGGGAAGTAGTAACATCTCCCGGGGTTGTTGCTGTGGAATGTCAGGCGCATACCGCGTCAGCTGCCCCCTGTTTTATCCATCAATCGGCCGGCAGATCGTGAGAACACTTGGGACAATTTTAACTCCCACGCACTAAGGCCCGGGTGCCTCAATCTGTTAGATCTCCAAAGCACGCGCATTTATAAAGCGCGGCCGCACCATAACAGAAGGTGAGCCCATCACGGCGGGCTCCGGGCCACCTGCAGCCTGGCCCAGGGTCCCCCCCCCCCCCTGCCCTGCTGTTTCTGAAGCCAGCAGCCCCTTAACGGAAAGGCCAGGTGGCTTCGGTTCCGAAGGGCGGCCCGACCACACCCTCACCTCAGCTGCACCCCACGCTCCAGGACCTCCAGTATATTTAGCTCCGAGGCACCTGAAAGCTTTTTCCGCCAGCACAGGCTCATCTTTGAGCAAACTCAGCCCAGATGCAGCCAGCACGCACCCTGACCTCGCCAGTCATCGGCGGTTTCTCTCCCCACTATTTCCTGTTGTGCACCCGTGGGGCTGCGGTGGGTGGGGGGCTTGGCCGCACATGGCCAGCACCCAGCAAGCCCCTTCTCTCTCCGCAGGCCTGCGGACGCGCCGCCATGGGGCTTAAGCTGTCCTGCCTGAAAGGTAAGGGGGGCGGCTCCCCCACCAGCTCTTCTGGGGCCCAGGGAGGTAGGGGCGGTGCGGGAATGAGGCAGGAGAGAGCAGGAGGCACACCCCGGAGAGGGAGGGGGCACCGCCAGTCAAGGCAGCATCTGTACACAGCAGGTGCCTTATATATGCGGGCTGTGACTCTCAGCACTCCTCCTTCCCTGCCACTGGCAGGAGAGGGACGTGGCCACGGTGCCCTTGGGCCTTGGCTTCTCCCTCAGGGGGACTAATCCCAACCGCGGAGAGTAAGGGAGGAAGAGCCGGGCACACACGGCGTTTTTGCTCTGTACCCCGCGGGCCTGGTGTCACCGGCATAGGGGGTTCGGCCTGCCGGGGCCCGGGGAAGGTCCTAGAAGGACACAGCGTCACGGTGGCACGTGGTAGGTGTTGGCAGAGGCAGTGCAGACATCTGTCCTGTGCCCTAGCCCCTGATGTCCAGCCATGGTCCACAGGGAGACCTCTCCCCTTGAAGCCCGTTATTCAGTGACAGACGCCTCCCAGCCTGAAACCTGGGGGGTCGTTCTGATGGCCCCTCCCTCGCCCATGTGGGTGGCATGCCCCGCAGAGCTGACTCACCTCCTGGATGTTTTGGGGGTGTCCCTGGCCCCATCCCTTCGCCGCAGGAAGTCAGGGGTGTGGGAAGGCCCGGGCCAGGCAGAAGGACCACCTCCAGTCCCCCTGCCGGGATGGGTGAGCTCAGGAGTGCATCTGATGGGCCCCGCTTAGGGTATGGCCCCCGCCCCTTGCCCCGGGGGTGGGGCATCTTGATGGACAGTTTCTCTAAGACGCGGAGCAGGTGCGCGGCAGTGGTTCCCCTGGACACCCACAGGGTGTCGTTTGCAAAGTGGGGACGGGGATGCTGGAGAGGCGGAAGCAGCCCACCTCCCTCCAGGGCCCGGCCCCTCTGAGGCCGCAGGCTGAGCCCACGCAGGAGTGGGGGGGGGGGGGCCCCCCCCCCCCCCCCCCCCGGGGGGGGGCGGGCCCCCCGCCGCCCCCCCCCCTGGGGGGGAGGGCCAGCCGTCGCATCCAGACCCCGCCCTTGGAGCTCAAGGACCCTCATCCTTCAGGCTTCGCTGCGGGCCTCCCCGGCGCGGGGCACAGAGGAGGCATTCGGCGCCAGCTTACCGTTTTGGGTTTTAATCGTGGCGAAATGTACGTAACATAAAGTTCGCTCTCTTAACCATGTGCAAGCCGACGGTGAGGGCCGTGACATCAAGCGCGCTCACGCTGTGTGCTGCCGAACCCGCCCCCGCTTTGCGGACCGGAACTGTGCCCCCGCCCGCTGCACACCCTCCCTCCCTCCCTGCCCCCTCTCCCAGCCCCGCCTCCGGCCGCCCTTCCTTCTGTCTTTGTGAAAGCGCTTACCCCGGGCACCCGCACACCTCATCTGAGTGGGTGGTACAGTATCGGTCCTCTTGTGACTGGCCTACTTGACTCAGCACGATGTGCTCAGGGCATGATGAGCATGATGTGCTCAGGCCCTCCTCTTTCAGGCGGAGTGAGAGTGCCTCGTGTGCAGAGGCCACGTTTGGGGTATCCACTCGGCCCCCCACGGTCCCGGGCTTTGGGTTGCTGCCCCAGCACATCTCTGACAAGTAAACCGAGGCCTTGGAGGAACCTCTGGGGCCCAAGCAGGGGAGGACGCCCCGGGCGCTGGGGACCACACCGCCGCCCTCTCTCCCCTCCCCGGAGGGAAAGCCCCGGCAGGGCAGCAGGCCTAATGCTCCTGGCGCTGGGAGCCTTTCAAAGGGCCACCTCCAGCCTGGCCCCCGAGGAGCCACCTGCCAGGGCAGGGGCAGTGCCGTCGAGGGAGGTCTGCTCGCGTATTTTTCACTGTAGCTCTTAGGGGCGAGGCCTGCCACCAGCCACACCAGCCTCTCACAGCCGTGATCCCTGGAGGTGGCAGGCCACTTGAGAGGGACAGGCAGCGGGGCGGGGGAAGCTGGGCACAGGACCTGCTCTCTGTGCTTCACCAACGCCACCCAGGCTCTGCGGAGCCTGAGTTTGACTCTTGCCGCCAGGGACGTGCACAGCGCACGCAGTCGTCCACCTTACCTTCTTTGCCCTCGCCGCCCGCAGAGGCGTGCCGTCACCCGGCTGTGCGGCCGAGACCCGTATGTGTTTAGTGTGGGCCCTGCGCGTCCTTCCACACTCTGATGCCTGTGTCGCCTTCCGCCAACAGTTGGCCTTGGGTCATTTCCAGCTTGTTGCGTTTGTAAATAGTGCTGTTTTGGTCCTCTTTCATTTCCGATTTTGTTACCTGTTATTTCCTTTTTTTGTTGTTAATTTATTTTTGAGAGCGGGAGAAAGGGCACAGCTGGGGAGGGGCGGAGAGAGAGGGAGAGCGAGCGAGAATCCCGAGCTGGCCACGCACTGTGAGTGCAGAGTCTGACAATGGGACTCGGACCCACGAACCGTGAGCTCGTGACCTGAGCCGAAGTCGAACGCTTCACCGACCAGGCCACCACGCCGCCCCTAAACTTATTACTTCTTTGGGATAAACTCCAGAAATCCGAGTGACCCAGTCACATAGTTAGGATCGATGGTGAATTCTTGATCAGAACTTGATGAGAAGTCCAAAACCAGGGTGCCCGCGGGGTCGCCACAGGGCCTCCGGAGGCTCCAGGGGAAGGTCCTCCCTGCCTGCCTCTGTCCCCACACGGCCTCCTCCCTGTCTGTGTCCTTCCTCTTATGGAGACACCTGTCCTTGCACTTAGAGCCAGCCTTAAATCCAGGATGATCTCATCACAACGTTCTTAACTAATCACAGCTGCAAAGACCTTGTTTCCAAATAAGGTCGCGTTCCAGGTGGATGTGGATATGGGGGGACACCCATCACCCCACTGCGAGTCACTTCGCCCCTGAGCCCCTTGCGCGAGGGGTGGGAGCGTGCCCTTCTGGTCTGATGGCAGAGACCCCGCCCGAGGCAGGAGCTGGTGAGGGTGTGGTGTGGGAAAGAAACACATCCTGGTTTCCGGTCCCCAAGGCAAGTGGGCACAGAGGACCCCTGGGAGTAGAGTCCTGCTGCCCGAGGGCCTGGCGGGAGCAGCCGCGGCGACTGGGGGTGCTCCACTGTCCAAAGAGCTCCTCCCTCGTGCCCTCTCATCCAAGGTCAGGCACTTGGCCGGCCTCCCCATGAGCCAGGAGCTGCTCCTGGAATGAGTTCCCCGGATTTGCTTTTTAATCCTCACTACAGCTGGGCAGTGTAGGTAACTTCGCAGATGGGGAGACCGAGGCACAGGCCCCGGGTCACATGGCCGGGCAGGAGGGGCGGGCTCAGCAGGCGGCAGGGAGGGGTGAGTGGTTTCCCCGTGCCTGAGCGTGGGGTGGCGCTGCCCGGGAGACAGCGCGGTAGGGCTGTGTGGTTCTCGGTGGGGTCCCCAGACCTGCAGCCTCAGCGTCATCTGGGAACCGGTCGGACGTGTGAGACCCTCCCAGACGACTGAGTCAGAAACTCGGGGTGGGGCGGGCTGTTAACAAACCCTCTGGGGGATTCCGGTGCCTGCTCAAGTTGGGGAAACACTGGTGACGGGGCTGTGGGGTTAGAGAGAGCTGAGTTCGGATCCCAGGTGTGCCCTGACTAAGTGCAGCTTTGTGAAAATCCCTTCCTATATGAGAGCCTCAGCTTCCCCATCTGTGAAGTGGAATGATGAGTGAGGACATCCCCTGGGCCAGGTTTTGAGAGTTATCTTAGATAGGCACTGAAGATGTTACCCAGCAGACAGGGCTCCCGGGCCGGGCTGGTCCCAGCCCACTGTCCTTCTGGGGCCACCTGGGGCCAGGTGGGGCTGGGAGGAAAGGGGACCAGGAGATGGAGACTGCGTCCAGAGTTGGTGGCTTGGTCAAGTGTCTTAACGACTGTGTTTTAGAACAGTTTTAGATTTACAGGAAGTACAGTTTCAAATTTACAGTTTCGCCGAGAGTTAGCACACTGGCCCCTTCATCCGGGTCAGCAGATCAGTCCCAACAGGTCAGTATAGGTGGAGTCCATGCTTTGTTTGGGTTTTCCTCCACTTGGCCTCAAGCCCCTTCACTGTCCCGTGAGCCCACCTTGCAATGACTTGTCACATCTCCTCAGTTTCCCCTGGTCGTGAGGGTTTCTCAGAAGCTCCTGTCTTCGTGACCTTGACCATCTTGAGGAGGACCGGCTGGCTGTTGGGGAGGACGGCCCACTGTTGGGATCTGGCCGATGTTGGGGTTTTTAGTCTCTTCTGAGCAGGTGACAATGGTGATGGTGGGGACAAGGGACACGGGCATGCCCTCCCCGGCGCCCCCGACCGCCCAGGGCATTTCTCCCTTGCAGGGGAATTGAGCAGGGGCTCAGAGCCTCTCCCCCACTCGGCCTGTAACCCAGGCATGGGGTGGTTGGGGCTGGCAGTCAGGATGCCCATTCTTCCGATTGGTGTCGAGAGGCCCAGCACTCACTGCGGGTCCCGGCGCAGATGAGAGTCACTCCGCGGCCCCGCCTAGGGCAGACGGTTGGTTCCAGCCGCCCGATGCTGCCGGTGGGGTCCGTCTGGGGACCGTTCATTGCACAAACATTGATTTCATCCCTACTGTGCGCTGTCAGGGCTGGATACAGGGCTTCAGACAGGAGCAAGGCCGCTGTGCAGCTGGGAGAGAGGGGAAAGGGGGAGAGAGAGAGAGAGAGAGAGCGAGCCTGGCAGCAAGCAAGCCTGCGAGAGCTGGTCTGGAAGAGAGTAGGGAAGGAGAGTGGAGAGCAGCAGGTGCTCAGGGAGAGAAGCAGCCAGGTGGGAGGGGAGGAGGGCAGAACTTGGGCTTTACTCCAGTGGGGGCTGGGAGCTCCATGAACAGGGGGTTGTAAAGGCCTCCATTCAGCCGGTACATTTTGAGCAGTTTTCAGAACGAGTTAGGGGCTTCATACCTTTGAAAGGAAGGCGACAGGTGGGGCTCGCATGGAGGCAGAAGATGGCCAAGGTCAGTGTCTCCGTTTACCGAGTGTTAGTGTTCCCGTCTGTACAGTGGGCTGCGGCTTCCCGCCCATGGGGATCCTGGGGGGGGGGGCCCTAACCTCGCCACCTACCCCTGCACCCCTCTTCCCATGGGGGACAGAGCCCAGACCAGCACTGTTCTGGCACGACCTTCTATCTGTGGTTGAGTGTCTGCTACATGCCAGGCACTGCACCAGACCCCAGGGAAGGGCAGTGAGCAGCTCAAAGTCCCTGCCCCCACATAGGAGAGGCAGAAAGGAGTGTGTGAGCATGAGACCCAGATGGGTAGATTTTGCAGTGACGGCAGTAAAGGGAGGTAAAGTGGGGACGAGGCGGCTGAGGGCCTCTTGCCGTGCGTACGTCAGAGCCAGCCATGCAGAGGCAGTGTTCCAGGCAGACGGAGCAGCAGGTGCAAAGGCCCTGAGACAGGAACATGTTGGGTGAGCTGATGAGCACTGAAGAAGGGCGTGTGGCAGGAATGAGGGGCCAAGCAGGAGGAGGTGAGGTCACGGGGACAGGCAGGGCCATGACAGCTGAGCCGTGGGACCCAGAATGTCTTTTATTAGTCACAGGAAGCACGGGAATCGGTGCAGACCAGGGGTCGAAGCATCCCCTGCCCTTCAGAATCACATGGATGGCTTTCAAAATGGTGCAGCCCTGGCCCGTTCCCAGGGGGGTTAGGACTCAGCTGGGGTGTGGGCCCTGGGCACCAGTGTGTTTACGAAGCCTTCCAGCTGATTCGCCTGTGCAGCCCAGGGTGAGAACCACCGTTCGGATCCAGTGTCCTTGCTTTCAGGTGGAGCTTGGGCTGGGGACTGGCTGTCCAAGCGACAAGGTTAGCTTGGCTGGAAGCCCAGAAGGTAGGGGCTCGGAGGGCGGGGAGACCCCCACCCACTCAGAGGAGGGGTGGGTAATCAGAGCCGGTCTTAAATGCTGAAGCAGATGGCACTTCATCTGGCCGTGCCCTGTCCCCGCAGGAGAGCCCGCAGCCCTCCAGGCTCATGGCCAGGATCTAGCCCCGTGTCCTGCTCAGGCTGACCCCACCTGCACCCTGCTGTCCTAGGGAGGAAGGGAGGGGTTGCCTGGAGGGTCACAGTCAGGTTGACCGGCCTGGGGCGCCCTGAGGGACCCATACCTAAGGTTGGCCATAGAAGCCGGTGGCCCAAGGGCAGGCTTGGGCTTCTGAGCACCAGCTACACC